AATCTAGATGAACCCTAGTCGGGGTTGGAGAGGGGAAGGGAATGGATCATGTCGTTGTGAGAGGAAGGGAGAGAGAGAGAGAAGGGGGGAGAGGTGTGACTCGATCGGCCCAAGCCGCTTTGTTGTTTCTCGACGGGGTGATCAAGTGTGCATTGGACGGATCGAGTTGACCACTCAAAAGCCACAAATAGCACACACACAGTTTTTAGTTTTCGTGGAAAACTATTGAGATTCTGGAATTGCCTTGATCTTTTATGAGTTATTTGGAGCTCTTGTGTGGGTGAGTGTGGCTAATGCAATATTTCCTTATAATTTCAAATATTAAAGATGAGTTGTTGATTGATGGTTCATCATCCAACTCCCCTGCGATGGTCATCGTGGCCTCCCTGAACTTATCAAAACAAAAAGGAAATTGAAGGGCACTTATCAAAACAATTAATCACACTTATCAAACCTCTACTATTAAAGGATACTTGGTGAATGATGGTCCGCCATCCAACTCCCTCACGACGGTACATCGTGGCCTCTCAGCATTTTACTAAAACAACTAATCACGCTTACCAAATGAGCATATAAATGTTAAATGGTACAACCTCCCCGCGCTTAGCAAAACAATTGAGTGTTTCAAATAATTGAGCATGCTTACCAAATAACATAAATCTATATCTATATCTATATCTATATCAACAATAAAAGACCCAAAGGAGAAGATCCAATTAATCTCGGCCATCAAATCATGCCAATCCAACGACCTAGATTGCTCCAATGGTGAGCTCTCAACATGTTGAGCGTGCAATTCATAGCATACCAAATATCAACATCTATATTAATCTCATAATTAACACGTAACTGCTATCCTGCCTAATATCATTGTGCAGTTGATTTTCTCCCTAATATCAACGTGCATTGCACGTGCTCATTTACTAGTACTATGGCACGTCCTTATTGAACTGACCAAAATATTTGAGAGTTCCAAACAATCGATGGCATTTACCAAACAATTGAGCGTGCCTACAAAATAATTTGCTCGTTGTTTTTTCACATGTGCCTATGCCGAATTCGTTGGATCTTGCAGTAATATGGAAACTATTTTTTTCGTTCGGCAAATTTAAACGTTGTACTC